TAAGCTCACAAAGCTAGACTAGTTGTAAAGCTGCGCTAGAACCTAGCTCTCTAAGCTTCTGCTTTATTGTTCTCCCTATTACTTTCTACTGTCTCTCCATTTGTTACCTAGCACTAACTCACTGTCACCTTCTCTCTTTCATATATTTCTTATTAATGATGATAATAGCTGACATTTATATGGAGCTTTAAATTTTTCAGAGCCGTTTACTTACAAGGTAATAATCGTGTGCCTGGCCATTCTTGTCAGAAGGGAATAAACGACTCACTTTTTAAACTCAAGCCACTAGTGCAATGACAGAAGTCATTAACTAAATGAACTTGATAGTTAATGTGCCATTCTCAAGTGAAAAGCTGAATAGTGTATGCCTTTTCACCATTTACAATAGGGCTTTAAATGATTATATGAAAGGTTCTACATAACTACTTTGGAGTGATTATATAAATGGTTGTACTTGACTTCATATTCTTCGCTTTTCTTTGCCTGCTTCTGGATATTTTCCAACATATCAAAGTCCTTCCTAATATGTGGTGCCAAGGATTAAAAGTAGTAACTCTAGATGTGATGTTGCCACTACACTGGGCTATCATCTCCTTATTCCTAGAAGTTATGGTTCTCAATGCTCTTTAAGATTTCTTGACTGTCATATTGTACCATTGATTCATTGAGCTTGTAGTCCACTAGAGTCTGCATTTTATTCTGTCAAACTGCCGCCTAATCATCACTTCCATCTCTTGTACTTGTCCCAGTTATGGAACTTTATATTTGATCCCACTAAATTTTATTTTATTCAGTTCATCTCACTGCTCTAGCCTGTTGAGATTTATTTGAATCCATACTCTATTATATAGTGTGTTTGCAATCTTCCCCAGGTTTGTGTCATCTGTAGATTTTATGAACATACCACCCCAGGGACTTACCTACATCACTGACAAAAATGCTAAGCAGTACTCAACTTAGCAAATCCATGGGCACTGAAGGATTCCTTCTAAGCTGACATTAGACTATTAATGTTCTTTCTTTCTTACTGGCTATTCAGCCAGTTCCAAATCTACCTGAGAATATTGTCATTTGCCTCATATCCCTATCTTTTCCACAAGAATAGCATGAAAATTTTGTCAAATGCTTTGTGAAGATCTAGGTAACCTATGTCTGTAGCATTTCTCTTATCTACCAGTTTAGTAATCTTGTCGAAAATGAAAATAAGGTTAGTCTGGCTTCCTGTCCTGGAATGTGCTCCCCTTTTACCAGAGTGAGATGGACCTTTCTTGCTGATCCTCCAAGTCTCCTGGGCTAAAAGACTGCTCCACCCTGTCTTTTCACTGATTCTGTTGTTCCAAGATTTGTTCTGGGGTGCTATTTTATGGTTGTTTGGAGGTGAATATGGGAGAGCTACAGCAATTTGCTGCTTACTCCACTATCTTGGCTCCCAGAAGTCATGAAGTGGATCTTTAAGGAAATGTTCTAGAATTTTGCCAGGAATTGAAGTCAAACATACCTAGAATTTTCAGACCCTGTTCCCTAACCTTTTGAAAATTGGAATATTTGTCCTTCTGTGATAATAAGGTATTTCTCAAGTTCTCCATGCTCTTTTGAAGATTACAACCAATAATGTTACAATTACACCTGACAGCTATTTCAGCTTCCTGGGAGCCAAGTGACTTGAATTTACCAAGGGATGTTAAATGCTATCATTATTATTTCATTAATTATCTTGAGTACCATTCTCCACAGGAGAGTTAATAAAAGTAAAATGACAATGAAGCATATCACCTGAAGGTTCCTATCACTTCTACTTCAGCAAGACATTTCTCATTGTTGGAAAGAATCAGATTTAGAACAGAATTTCCCCCTTTTTGTTGCTCTACTTTTTTGAAGAATGAAATTATCATTAAATCAAGGCAAGAAGCAATTCAATATTTTGCATTTTACACCCACACCCACACCCACTCACAGAAAGAGCACACCTCATCTAATGTTTGGATAGCTGAAATCCCCAGTCACTAATACATCATGCCTTCATTCTAAGCTTTTGTTTCTCAAATTTGTTTCTCAGATTTCTTAATTTTTCCTCTTTCTGTCTGGTTGCAAGTTGGGGATGGGAAAGAAGAGGAGGTGAAACTCAATTATTCTACTTTACTGAAAGGTTTTGTAGGTGAAAATAGCTGAACTTTATAGTTTAAATAAATATGACATATAAATGTAAATAATCAGATACTAAAATGGATCTGTGATCTAATCATTTTAGAAGTTCTCTCCCTCAGTGATACAGATTACAGCCTATTCATGCCTGTTCATTCATTTCACTTTTTTCTGTGTCTTCCCATAAATTCTCCTCAGGGAGTCCACTCAATATGCTGGAATCCTTCCTCTCTTTCTCCTGATATCTAGATGGTACTAGTGGAGCACATTATTGTCTACCTGTCATTCCTCAGCCTCACCATGTGACCAGCTCATACAAGTATAAGGCAGTATGCCATTGTGGAGGATACAAAAATGAATAAGACTTTGCATCCTCCCTCTAAGAGCTTACATTTTAGTTAGATGAAATTGATAAAATTTCTGGAACTCTACTATCCTGAAGTAATACCTTGAGAAGTTAATGGTGTTATGTATTTAATAAATGCTTGTGGTTAATAATGATATTGTAATAATAATAATAATAAATAATGACATTTTAATAGGTCTTCATACCAAATACTCATCATCACCAAGCAATGTGGAATGAAAAGCTTTCAACACAAAGAGACCTAGGAAAAGAGATCAGAATCACATGGGGACAGCATGAGAAACATCCCATCACTGCCATTCTGTTCACTACTAGAGTTGTCCAAAAGATGCTTTCAGTGACTCTCCAGAGGATAAGCATACATCCTGATACTTTTATTAAATTACAAAAAAAGCCATTTATCCACTTCTGCAATAGTCTGTAGAATATTAAATATGAAAAAATAATATGACTTGTCCCAGAACCATTTCAATCAAAACCCATTTTAAAAGATGAGAATGAGATAACAATAATAGTGACACTTATGGTTAATAGAATAAACTTTAGTGCTAGGTATTCTGCCTACACAATTCTATCTTGCAGTTGAAAGTATTAAGGTCATTAGTGGATTCTACCACATTTTTATAGATTCATGATTTATTTTTAGGGTTGGGGGACTAATTTCTATTTTTACTTTGCTATTTGTTTGAGTTGATTTTCCCCCCCAATTCTTCGTTTTGCTAACATCATCACTTCACATAGCTATCTACCCAGACATCTGTTTTAATGGTAACATGAAACCTACCCAAAATGGTTGCCATTTGGTATTTTCTGTAGCTGAGAACAATTCTGTATTACTTTTAAGTCTTTCTTAGCTCCATTGTAGAATGAAAAGGTATAGTTGAGCACTGCCTGATGTCAAGTGTGCTTTTTCATTTGAAATGTAACTTTTTAACGTCCCTGGGGTGATTCACCAGCTGATGATATAAAACAGTTATGGGACTGTGCCACATGAAGAGAGGGTTTTATGTCATTTTCTGTTCATTACTTTCTGTACCTTAGCCATTTTTCCTTTTCTCTTATTCTCCTTTAGTTTTTTCTTGCCACATTTTTTTTCTCTCAGTGTACATCCCCTCCTTCCTTGGTAATCTCTTTTTTGTCTAATTTTTTTCTATTAATAGTTTGGTTGCCTCTGGGGTATAAAATGGTCAGAACAAACTGTTCTTTTAATGTATTATTAAAATTATTTTAAATATATGCTAATCAAAGTGAGGTTTCCTTATTGGGTTTATTTGATATGCTTTTTATGGGAGGAGGGTGGTATCTGTATGTTGGTCAGCTTAATAGAGTATTACATATGTACTTTATTGCATTCCAATGGAGGGTTCACCTATTAATGAATATATTAGAAGCATCTAATTAATCACAAATCAATCAATCAACAAACATTTATGTGTAATAGCCATTGTACAAAGGGCTAGAGATGCAAAGACAAAAAATGAAATAATTCCTGATTTCAAGGGGCTTACTTGCAGTTTGGGAATTCAGCATGTGCATACAGAATAAGAAAAAAAATTGCTAAAAGGTAGTTTATTGAGGAAGGATACTAGCAGTTGGTAAAGCCAGGAAAGACTTCCTGCACAAGGAGGTACTTGAAGAAGAGGTAAAAAGCCCAGAGAAAAGAGATAGAATGTGAGGAACATCAAAAAGTCCAGTCTGAGAGCTAGGGAAGGGGAATAGTGAATCATGAGGTTGGAAAAGTACAGTGTAGGTCGGAGCCGGAGGAGTTTATGTTTTATTCTGGAGGCATTTGGAAATCAGTGAAGGTAATTGAAAAGGTGAGTGGCATAGTATCCAGGAAGAGATAGTCATTCTTGATGAAAGGAAAGTTTTTAGTAGTTCTTCAGGACTAGAATTATAAGAAGTATATGGAAGTAGTTTGCATTAAATGTTAGCTAACAAAATATACAGAAGAGAGTGGCTTAAAAGCAGTATTAGATGACTACCAGTTAATAGATTTTGTTCTAACAAAATTGATTATCTGAAACATCAGAAATATATCAAAGATAACAGAATGCTAAGATAGTTTGAGAGATGTAGCATTGTGGTCAGGTCTAGTGGGAAGCAAGGAATTGGCTGCCGGGTAAAAAAAGACAACCTTATTATGCTGTTCAGAAGGATTAATTGAACATCACTCAGATAACATTACTTAAGTAATATTAAGTTTGAACAAGGAATGTAAGTTCAAGTTCTGAATCATGACCACCATTTTCTGTGCATTTCAGTTTGCTTGCATCTCTTCTGTGTATATACTGTCTGAAAGCAAGGAACATGTCATGTCTTTACAAAGGTCTTCAAATACTCATTTCAGAGTAAACCCAATAATTGGAGGGGATATTAATTGCCCCATATTTTTACTTCCTGATTATTTTAAATTTAATTTGTTTTACTTGTTTTCTATAGTATTTTACATTCTTTTGCATTAGGTACATTCATTTCTTGTTCATTACAGGGTTTAGTTCAAGAAATACATCGTAATGTCCAAGACATGAGGTTGCGAATAAGACAAATTAAAAAAATAGAGCACAATAAGACACTTACCAAAACTGCAACCCAAAAAGTCCAGGGTTTGGCAGCTTCTATCCTAAACATTTCACCAACTGATGTGGAAGAAATGTTAGACTCAGAGGATGAAGAGGTGAGAGAATTTAAATGGCTTCTGTAATAGTCATTTTTTTTAATTAATGAGTTTTTTAAATTAAATTTCAATTAAAATGTGACTTTTTTTGATGACTTTTAATAATTTCAGCTGTAAGAAAAAAATAAGGATTGACACTGTGCCAGTGAAGAAATACATCAAGACAAGATGTATGCTCAAAACGATCTACAGAAACTTGGCTGTGTAATCAGGGTTATGCAGCATCTTAAAATAACTTTGAGACAAATCAGTTGTTCATGCCTCTTCTTTCCATTTCCTTTCTTTAGTTAATTATTCTGTATCTTATAAACTTGTAATCCATCAGTGGATGTAGTCAGTTTAACATCACTGATTTAAGCTGTTTCTCTTTTATGTAACATAAAGGAGTGGTAGATCTCTTGTGTAGACTGATAGAATCCAAAGTTATTGCAACTGAAAATTTAAGAAGGTGTAAAACTTAAAATTTTATTTTAAAAAGCTTTGTCCTTCCCGGTTGAGTCCATATAATATATGAAATAAGTGATAAACTACATCCATAACTATATATATATGTATATGTGCATATGTACCTGTATGTGAACAAAAGAAAATAAAAGCATTTATTAAGTGCTTACTATACACCAAGCACTATGCTAAGCAGTGGGGACATAAATGCAAAATTAAAAACAGGTCCTGCCCTCAAGAAGCTTATGTTTTAATTAAGACTGGCGTGGGGAGGAGGCTAAGTTTATAACACAAATAGTACAGTGGCGACCAGGGAAGGGCACTTTGGAAAGTTACAGAGTGAGTTAATGGGTTATAAAAGAGTAAATTGACACATCGCTTCCAGAAACAGGAACTGTGGGTGAAGGTATTGCTCACAGCAAGGTGGTTGATGAGTCAGTCAAAAAGTTGAGTTGAGGAACAGGGAGTTAAATGAAGTATGGCTGAGCCATTTCAGGAAAGGGCCTTCCTGATATAGGGAAGGAAAATTCCAGGGATAAGGGCACTAAAGAGGGGAGGAATCAAGATAAACATATTTACTGTCAGAGAGGACACTTGAGCTTTGAAGGAATCCAGAGACTCTAAAAAGTGGAAGTGAGGAAAGAGGGAATTATAGGCACAGGAGGCAGTCTGTATTCCAAGGCATAGACAGGTGCAAAGGAAGGAAATGTAAAGGGAAATAAGCAGGCCAGTTTGACTTTGTTGTTTGTCCTTTGTTCTCAAAGAGGATCAGACTAGACTATTAAAGGTACATGAAGGAGAGTAAGTAATGCTTAGTAAACTAGGAAAGGTAGACTGAAGTTAGATTGCTCAGAGGTTAACTGCCAAATAGAGGAGTTTGTATCTGATCATAAAGGCCAGAGGGAACCAATGGAGCTTCTTGAGCAGAGGGATAACATGATTATACCTGTGCTTTAGGAATATCCCTTTGGTAGCTGGGTGGAGCACGAATTGCAGAGCATGAAAACAGGAAGCAAGCAGTGAGGCAGCACCATGCTTAGTATACTGAGCCTGGACTCAGGAAAACCTGAGATCAAATGTATCCTCAGATACTTAGTAGCTGTGTGATTCAGGGCAAGTCACTTAGCTTCTGTTTGCCTCAGATTCCTCAACTGCAAAATGGGGATAATAGCATCTACTTCACAAGGTTGTGTGAGACAACATGAAATAATATTTGTAAAGTGCTTAGCACAGTGCCTGGTACATAGACGCTATGACAATGCTAACTATAATAATATATGTGTGAATATATATTATTATTATTATTAATAGACTAATTAGGAAACTACTATAATAGTCAGGAAATAAGTGATGAAGTTTTGATGGCTATGCTGTAATATAAAGAAGGGAAAGGATACAAGATATTTTTTGGAGATACTATTGACAAGTCTGGCAACTTGTTTGGATGTGAGGGATAAGAGAGAATGATGAGTCAAGGATGATGCCAAGTCTGTGAACCTGAGTGACCAGAAGGATGATGGTATCCTAAAGAGAAATCAGGAAATTCACAAGAAGGATGCACTTACAAACAAAGACAGTCTGAATTTGGGCATGTCGAATTTGAGATACCTTTGGGACATCCTACTTAAAATGATAGTCAGGTTTTTATTCGATTTACATAATCACCCCCTCCTTTACCTATTGATGCATTCACATTTTTATATTTTGGGTTTTTTTTTTTGTTTTAACACTTGAATATACCTGTTAGCTAATTGTGACTTTTGACCTCATTTTCTTTATATATCAAATAAGGTTGCATTAGAGAGTTTGTAAAGGTCCTTTGAGCTCTAAAATTCTGTGATTCTTAATGATTCTTGTATATACCAATAGCGCAATCATTTTTATTTAGTTTCAGGCACTTTCATATGATACAATAGAAATAGCATTATGCTAGATTCAGGGAATTTGGGTTCATATTCCTACTCTGATGCTTGCTCTTTGTGTAACCTCAGGGAAGTCACTCAACCTCCCTTTACCTCAGTTTCTTTATCTGTAAAACTAAATACTAAAGGGCCTCTGAGATCCCTTCTAGCTCTAGCCCTGTGATCTACATCCTGTAATCCCCACCTGCCTTGATCCCAGCCATTAAGTCAGAGACTTTACTAATTTCTTAAAAATCTATAAACAAATTTCATTTTTTAGTGTAACGGAAGTATGCAATTATACTGTTTTAAGGCTTATTACTAGTAGAGATGCCTACCTACCAAACACAACATGTTAATAAAATCCTACATAAGAGAAGAAACTATCAGAGAATTGCAAGAGTCTGAGTTGGGATGGGGGGGCAACTTATACTTAAACAATAGTCCCTTCTGCAACTACTGAACCAATGATTATTCTGCCTGCACTGCAGAATCTCCAGTGACAGTGAACCCTTTGCCTCCTAAGTCAGTTCATTCCACCTTTGCACAATTCTAATGATTAAGGAGTTTTTCATTATAACAAGTCAAAATTTTCCTTTCTACAACTTCTACCCTCTACTCCTAGTTCTTCCTTGTGGGGCTGGGTGGCAGAGGTCTGATTCCTCTTCCTTGCTTGAAGACAGTGATCCAGGTGCCCTTATGAAGACAGAATAATATATTTATTACCTTATGTAGCTCGATGGCAATAGTAATTCAGTTGAAATTGTTTCTACATTTCATTTTTTAAAATCTACTGTAAATTCATGTATTTTAAATACATTTTTGAGTTGGTGCCCTGTGGACTTGTGTTCTGCATACATGTCAGTAATAATTTTTAGGCACTCATGGCACTTATGATTGCTGAATTTTAGAAAGTAGCCAGTCTTTGTGGTATCTAGTACAGACCAGTTCCTTATTCCTTGAGAAGATATATTAGATGTGTGGTGATGTGATCTGTGATTTTATTTGAGATAAACATAATTAATACTGACATTTTACTTATTGTTTGTTTGTTTAGGAATTGAAAAAAGCAAGGAAGGCCTGTGAACAAGATAAGGAGTGGTTAATATACATTAATAAAATTCTTGAAGGACAGGTATTTCTGCTTTTTGTACTTTTTATATTAAAACTTTATCTTAATAATTCAAAGCTTTCTTTTATTTAAAATAGGATTTCTCTTGTTCTGTAATATTATTAGTATCTTCATGTTATTTTAGTTGTATTAGATAAGGAATTATTATGCTAACAGAAAGGAAAGTTAACCCTATTTGTAATTGCTAATTTAACATAGAGGGTCTTGGCAAATGTATTAATTAAATTAGTGAGTTGACCTATATGTTTGGTAGATTGAAAAGGATCTATTCCTTAGACCTCTTAGGACAAGAGATGCTTTATTATGTGTCTTTAAAGTTAGTAGTTGATATGGACACCTGAGGAGTTCATGAGTCTCAGTGACCTTTTACTATGGACCTGTTTCCAGTCAATTCATGTTTTCCTCACAGCCAGACAGCTGTTTATTACTGTGTCTTCCCGCATTCTCTACAATATTTTCTACTGAGACCTCGAGCAGCTTGTTAGTGGGAAGTAAATATTGATTTGGCATCCTGTCAATGCAGAAAGAATGAAAAAATTTCCACCAGAGGCCCCTCAAACATTTTCCTATCGACATTTTCTGGGCAGAGTGGAAAGCTGCATAGAGGATGACAAGGCTGAGACTACTTGAAATCCCTGAGGGGTCTATTGAGACTGCTGCTGTGACCTGTGTGATACTTTTTCTTCTCTTTCAAGTATTTTTTTAATACACACATAGTCTGCTGGGATGTGCCCCTCTTGTAAGTGATCAAGGGCAGTTTATTGGCAGGTGAGAGCCCTGCTTTTCTAGTCATAGTCAGCCTCTGTTTTGACATCACTCACAACATGTAATGTATTCTAAAACTTTTCCTTATACTTCCTGCTCTTATCTTGATTTTTGTATTAAAAGTAGCCCATGAAAGAAGAAAATAGTTAAAAGACACATGCTAAAGAATTCAAATGATTTCTGTTTGCAAACTAGCTATTCAAATACTTTACAGATATTTCCATTTTACAATTCAAAATATTATTAGTAAATTATAGAAAAGAAATTTCTTTTAATACTTGCAAAATGCTATTCGTTGGCCTGGTTTGAGTAATTTCAAAAATAAGTAAAACATGATACATGCAGCATTTATGTTCATAATATTATTTTTATAAACCCAAATCAGTTGCCTCAAATAATACCTGATATTACTGAAGATCAGCCATTTCAATAGATAGCATGGAGTGGTGGAAACAACACTGTATTCATTGGAGGTCTGAGCTATGAGTTCCAGTCTTGCTTTTACCATTTGCTCCCATCTGACCTTTTGCGAGTGATATGTAACATCTCTCAATCTCATCCCACATCTCAGAGCCACATCTGAGGCTTATTGTGAGAATCAATAGAGAGAGTGTTTATAAAGTGTTTTATTAAACCATGCAGTTATATGCATAGGGGTGTATTTAAGTGCTCAATGGCAGGTTCTCGAGGTAGCATGAAGAAATAGCAGGTATTTGCAGTCCAGGGACCCAACTTCACATCCCAGCTCTGCTACTTGTACCTGTGTGGGCAAGTCACTTAGCCTTTCTGGGCCTCAACTCCCTTATCAGTAAAATGAGAGCGATGGCCTCTCAGATCCCTCCCTATTCTAAATCTACAAGCCAGGATTTTTATATTTGCCAGTTCTTCAAAAGTGACTTTAGAAATGGCTATATCTACTTCAGATTTTCTTACAGGGTAGTGAATAAAAGTGAACTGAATAACATTTAAAAATATTTTACTCTTGTTAGTATGGCTATACTTCTTTCTATTTTGGAATTCCATAAATAGAAATTATATTCTAAAACATTAAATTTAAATATTACTTTTTTATAAATTCTAATTATACTAGAAAATACCTTTCTTGAATGATATATATATTTCATATACATGTACAAACTTGAGATCATCCGTTTTTCAGGCTGCTTATTCTGTCCAGATAATGCCCTGTTGAAAATTGTAGCAGACCACTTAATACTACAGCTTGATATAGGGTCTTTTTGTGCCACTGAGCCTGGATTCTCGAATGTAATTGCCCAGCAGTATTGATTTAATTGCCTCGGTTTATTTGTGGACTCCTAATTATTGACTGGAGGTAAATTTAATGGAGCAGCCTTTATGAACACTGGGAAACCGCTGCTGTTGCTGTTATACATAATGAACTGCATCATATCCCTTTAGATCATTTTTCAGGCTAATTTTATTCCACTGCGATAGTACGATAACATTTAAAAAGTCAAAGAGTTTTTATTTTATTACTGACATAGGTGGTTTTTCTAATGTGTTAGATTTGAGGTGGCAGGTGGAGTGGGAATATAGGCTTCAGAGTTTTCACTTGAATGCCACTTCATAATTATACCCAAGAGGAAAATCTATAAAATATAACATATCTCAGTTTTACCAGACTTCTCGTTCTACTCCTCAATTTGTGTTTGTCCAGAGTTTTAGAAAAGATACCTCTTTTCACACCAATTTTTCTGAACCTTAGTTCAGCTCTGGAATTTCAAGAAGCTAAAGAGTTATAATCACATGCCTGCCATCTAGTTTATGATTCTTTTCCAGATACAGTTCTCATACTTGCATTTATATTATCTTCAGTCTATGGAAAAAAGTATGCTCATTGTCCAAAATAATGTACTTGTTAATTAGTTACTGAGTGATGCTTAAAATATTATTGAAACATTGAGGTAAAAACTTTGATGTCATTATGATTGTTTACCCAGGCACAGTGAAGCAAAACATTAATAGATTATTATTTTGCCAAAATAAGAATCTGCTACCAAAGAAAAAAGTTTTCAAATGAATTTTTAACTGTTCTGTTTTCACTTTCTGAATTTATCATATAGCTGAGAAATACTTCAATTCACTTTATGCCTTATGATTTAAAAGTGCGTGATTCTAGGAAGTTGGCTTGGACTTGGGTGTTATTTTTCATTATAAAGTATTGAGTATTAATCCATTAATTTGTTTCTGACAGTCTATAAGGTGCTTTGTGTGTGTGTGTGTGTGTGTATTCACTTCAGTGAAAATGTGTACTAATAAAATACTCATTTGAAATTAGAAAACTGTTCTACTTTGTGTCCAGTGCATTAGTACACATTAAAATAATACTGAACAGTGCTCTGTGAACAATATGACATCTGAAACTAAAAAATCTTATATTTTACAATGGATGCAGAAAATACACATGCTTAAATAGGGTAAGATGGATATCAGCTTGGTAATTTTGATTTGTTAAATTTTTTAAACTAGCATGAATGAGCTTTTTCCATATTTCATGGAGAAAATGTCTGGGTCCATGACCAATATTTAATTAAAAATATCTATCTCACTTTTCATTTTTTTAAATTTAGTCATGTCTTAACTTTAAATATTCATGAATTTTGTTTTTAAATTTGTTGTGCTGATTGTAAATGTCTTTATAATTTTATTAGAAGCATGGACTTATTTGTTTTAACTAGTTAACACAATACATTGTGCACATCTGGTTCGCTATAAGTAAACCTACATCAGAAATGGCCACTAAAATATATTGGTCTTTCTTCTGTATTGGGAATTTGGTACTCGAAACAAGATTGTGATATTCTTTTCCTCAGCAGGGTCTCAATTATTTGCATTTTGCTTTCTTTTCTCCTCATACTTACAGGTTTCACTCAATCATCCATAATGTTCATTAATACAAAAGAAATGTATCATTTTAAAAAAATGAATAAAACACTCTGAATTTATCTGGAGATGAGTCATTTTACAGACTTCTGTAAAATACAATTTTACTGCCTTCTTCTGAGACAGAACCTGTCACAGCCCCACTTTCACTTTCAGGGTGCTATTCAAGTTCACAAGACACGTGTAATGATTAAGAAGGCTAAGGAGAAATAAAGGAAACCAAATCCAAGAGGCAGAGAGGATCTTTTGGCCAGGTGCTATATCGTATGAGTTATGCCAAGTATAAATAGGAACAGAGCCAACAAGCAAAGCAGAAGCTGGTCTTCCAAGGAAATCCACAGATAACTGACCTATTTCAAAAGAGCTCAGCAGTAGGAGGATGGAATGCACTGGTTTTTAACCACATTAGCCTAACTCAGAAGGGCCGCTGAAGCAACTAGGAAACCTTCTCTGTTTTGTAGCCAGCCTCAAAGTAGAAGCAGACAGAAATCTGACCCATGTAAGTCAAAGTATAAATGAAAGTCTGAAGATGAAAGCCAAAAACATACACCAGACATATTTCAGAGGACCTAAGCAGAGAAATTGAATGATGACACCATTCAACATTTTCTTCAACATTTCCCAGTTCTACACCAACTTTTATCAGTGTTCACCTAGGCCTACTCAAACACATTATTGGTCCATTGGCAGTTGGTTTCAGACCAAACAGCAGTGATGTTTTCAGTCATATCAATAATTCCACATCTGATGGTTTTCTGGCATTCACTAATTATACACATTTTATATATGACCCACAGATATGCAAGCTGATAGGCGGTATTTGCCTATATGCCATTATAGCTTTTTTCTTTGGGCTACACAGTTTTCCTGTGGAAAACAGTTACAGAACAATTGTTCCAATAATCCTTTTATTAACATTACTACCATGGTTTTTTTTTCCTTTTACTCTAAGATGCCATCTGGCAGCTCAGTAACAGCTATAAGTAAAGGAGAATTTGAAGTGTCTTTTCTTGAACCCAGAATACACAGTCACTTCCCCCAACTCTGTACCCAGGGAATGTGTAAGTTCTGCTTAGGAGTCAAAGTAAAAGAAAGCTAGACAACTGCCTCAGTCCTCTGGGACTGAACTTTTACAATACACCTTTATTTTATTTGAAATTTGGGGAACCCAAACCTTAAATATACGTATATTCAAATATAAGTATCACAAAGGAATGTCCTGTTTTTTAAAATTCTTAATAATTGTACCATGACTGGGCCGTAAGTATATCTTTGCAATAGTTATGCACAAACGATTTGCTAAGCAAATATAATGTAAAAATCTAGGGGAAGAC